TGTCTGAGATCCCGGCTGCTCGGGAAGCTGTGAGGGGCGGCTAGCTTGGGCTAAGCTACGTCTAGGAGGCTCCACACCGGCTACGTGGGCATAGCTAGCTGGCCTATTCTCCATGGTGTGGAGCCGCGCTTCTAAGTCTGTGAGCCTCGCCTCCAATGCTGCTAGCATCTGACATTTATTACAAGTACCATTATCGCTAAAGGAGGCAGAGGAATAAATGAAAATGCGACACTCCGAGCAAGAGAAAGGAGGAGAGGAAGAGGGGGAAGCCATTGCTCTCGATTAAGCTACTAGCTTAGCTAGCTTCTAAACTAGCCGACCTAAAGTAGCAAGTTAAATTTGGTAGTTAGCAAGAACTTCTGCAAAACAAGTGCTTTAAGTGGTGCAAGCATATGTTGTCACTCAAAAATTCAGATGAACCTAGAAAATAGTGAGTTTAATTCCTAAACAATCTGGAAGCAAGCACAACACAGTGCAAATACAGAAAACAGGAAATGAGTATGGTTTACCGCAGGAAACAGCAGTCTGTCAAAGGTTCCGCAATCCAACCCATTAGTGAGAACAGAACTGCGTCTCTTGATGGCTACTCAAAAGTGCTTATTAAATTAGAACTGCTGAATGTGAGAGGGGGTTTGACCACATTCATGTTTCTTGTTCTCCACTCACAGAAACAGCGTGAACAGTGTGGCCATAGGCCACTGCTGTAGAACTCAAGTCCATGACTCAGACTCGAGCATTGACTGTATTGTCTAGTTTGCGGATGACACGACTATAGTTGGCCTCATTACCAACACCGATGTGGCCAACTACAGGAGTGAGGTGTGCCAACTGGTCCAGTGGTGCAAGAACAACAACATCTTCCTCAATGTGAGGAAGACTAAAGAGATCATTGTGGACTACAGATGAAAACCTCTAAAGCATCCACCACTGACCATCGATGGTGCTGTAGTGGAGAGAGTGAGCAGTACCAAGTTCCTGGGGGTGCACATCTCTGAGGACCTCTCCTGGACCAACAACACCATATCACTGCCCAAGAAGGCTCAAACATGCCTCTACTTCCTCCACAAACTGAGGAGAGCCAGTGTCCCACCCCCCATCATGTGCTGTAGTGGAGAGAGTGAGCAGTGCCAAGTTCCTGGGGGTGCACATCTCTGAGGACCTCTCCTGGACCAACAACACCACATCACTGCCCAAGAAGGCTCAAACATGCCTCTACTTCCTCCACAAACTGAGGAGAGCCAGTGTCCCACCCCCCATCATGTGCTCCTTCTACCCGGGCACCATTGAGAGCGTCATCACTGGCTGCATCACTGTGTGGTTGAAGCCTGTACTGCCTCCTGCAGAAGGACCCTGCAACGCATAGTGAATACAGCCATCGGCACCCCTCTGCCTTCCCTTAAGGACATCTTCAACACCCGCCTCACCCGCAGAGCCATCAGCATTGCTGATGACACCTCCGACCCCACACACTCCCACTTCAGACTCCTGCCTTCAGGGAGAAGGTATCAGAGTCTTCAGGCCCACTCCACCAGACTTACAAATAGCTTCATCCACCAGGCTGTGAGGATGCCCAACACTACTCTACTTTAATTCTATTTTAGCTTCCTAAATGGTATGGCATTCAATACTAGGTGAGAGAAAAACGGGATTTTGATTTTCTGTATGTCCTGCACATATAGTGAATTGACAATAAAAATCTTTGATCTTTCTTGATCTCTTTGATTTGAACTTAAAAGATGGAGATGAGAACTCCGACTTTTTTTGGATTAAGTTGTGTGTGTGAGTGTGTTAGCCTCAGCCGACCCAGGGCCTTTCTGTGCAGAGTCTGCATGTTCTCCCTGTGCCTGCGTGGCTTCACTCCGACTTCCTCCCACAGTCCAAACACATGCAGCTTAGGTTGACTAGCGACTAAAAATTAGACATTATCTGGAAGGGCATCCGGCGTACAAACATGGCAAGTTTAACATGGGCATCGTCAGTTTGGTGGGGGCTGATGATTTGCTGTGGTGACCCCTAACGGGAAGAGCCAAAAGTAGAAGAAGAAGAAGTGTGCGTGAGTGTGTTCATGCTTACAAGTGCATTTGTTTGGTTATTATGTCTCACACACACCCCCATTCTGACTCAAACCCCGGGGACTTGAGCCTTAACTCGGACTTGAGGTTTAACGACTCAACTACCACTGCTCACAGATCTGACAGAGTCACAGTGCCTGGACTTTGACCCATTTGTACAAAATATGTATTCTGTAGGGTGGGTGTTTCTGCTCACTGTGGGTTGAACAGTTCCACTGAGTCACTGCCATCACAGCTAATCTCAATCGAACACATCAGGAACATGCTCAAAGAGGCATCATTTTTTTCATAGCTGCCTCTTCACAGGCTTTAATCAGAATTAGACAGCTTGTTACAGACCTCGTTCTACACGAAGCTGTTTGATGCATCTCCACGAGTCTCCAGGTGTTTCAGCAGAAACTTAGTCCACAGTGCAACACCTGAACAACATTAAACAGTTCAGTCTTCGTCATCTCTTTATAGCCAACAAACACGAAAGAGCATCTCAGCAACATCTGGTGAGGACACATACAGCTGGCTGAGAACCAGCAGCATGAACCAGGGTGGGTACAACAGCTGTGTGCCTGACACTGAACGAGTCAACTGAGGTCTCACGCCATCAGCTAATCACTGACATCACAGCCGCCGCACTCACTGATTGGACCAACTACAGACCCTCTGACTTCTGAGGGGGTCAGACACATGCCACATGAGCTAGATCTCTCATCTAATTACTGCAATGGGCACTGACCTCCACAGACAAACAAACAAGCATGTGCACGTGGTCTTCATCTGTATATGTATACCTGCTGGTCTGCTGGCTGTTGTTCCAGGTCTCTCGTCTCTGGGCAGCGGGTGGAAGAAGGCGTAGACCAGGTGACCCTGCAACACACACACACACACACACACACACGTTATCTTTCCATCACATTCAGGGGACATTACACTGACTTCCATTAATTTTATGGGGACTTACCTTAAACTTAAACCAAGTCATCACTCTAAAATGTCATGATTTATGTTTTAGGGACTTCCTTTTTGTCCCCATAAGGATGTGAATGCCCACAGTGTGAGTGTTTTACATATTTATGTCCCCACATCATGAGTAATACCAGGCCACACACAAACTGTATATTGTATATTGTTTAGCAAATCCTAACCCTAAAGAGGATGATGCCCCCACTTATACCAACTGCAACATGGAAACTAAGCCAGTCGTGTTTATGGAAGCCCCAATGAGTCAAGACAGTGACAATCCTTATTTCCACCAGTGTTTAATGTTCCTGTCCATTTAATGATTTAATAATAATAACTAAAGCACACAAACTCCTTTAAAATAACAATTAACCGGTCTTTTTACAAACACAGACTTTTATTCCCGTGTTGTTTCGTGTCATGTATGATCAAACCAATGAGTGATAGCATCTGACCTTTCATTGGACATTTAGTTTTTGTGCACAAAAACTGGTTTAAACAACATTTTTGTCTTGATGTTGAGTCAGTTTTAGTCTTTGTTGAGAAGCCTGAGGCTGAACTGAATCTGTGATGGATTCTAAACCAGCTGCCGGATCAGTCTGTGGCCAAAGAGAACATAAAGTCAAATAAACCTGCTTCTATCAGTTTTAATGAATCCTGACTTAATCCACACTCAAGAATAAAACTGATGAGAACACCAACAATAACAGTGGAGCTGCAGCTGAAGTCTGTTTTATTTTAACAACAGAAGCTCCACTTCACAGCAGCTTTAACACAAACTAGCAGCAAATGTAACAAAACTATAATGACCAACATGTAACACCATGTTCAGTGTTAGCAAAGAGTGTGCACGTCCTGCCAAGCGTCTGACACTGGTCAGGCCTGATAGAGCAGCAGTGATCCACACCCTCATGCTGCCTCCAGCACTGATATGTTTCCTCACACATTTCTCAGAAGCCACAGAGTGAAAATGAAATGACATTGCGTTAAGTAGCACTTGAAAACATGTTGCGCTTCACTTGAGCATGATGTGCTGCAGGAATAAAGACACACCTGAAGGCAGGAAGCAAGAGAAACCTGAGCTCCCAGCTCAAAATCTAAACTGTCTACTGAAACTAGTTCATCCTGGTTTGTAAAGTTCATACAGAGGAGCCACAACTAACCATTATTTTCATCCAAAGTCATAAAAACTAGTTATGATTCATGACTTCAATGTGTGCATTTTTTTGTGCTGACTTTTATTCTGAAAGTCACTGTGTGACTGAGATATTTAGGAAAATAAAAGATGTTGCTGAGATGCTGCTGAGTGTAATACATGAAGCTCACAGAGACGTGTCACACTCTCAATGACCAATAACACCACCACCACCACCAAGATCAGACCTGAGCGACCTCTGGGGCGGCATGGATCAGGTGCCAGATGTAACCGTTCAGCTCGTCTTTCCTCCTATCAGCCATCGCCTCACCTCGGGACCGGCCAATCACAAAGCGGCTGGGGAAACTGTGGGCAGGACAAAGAAGAGAGATGTCACACCTGAAACACAAATCACCTGTTTCCTGCTCTGAGGGTCGTTGTGCTGCTGCCTCCAGTTTCTCATAATTGTGAAATGAAACGAGACACTGGTGAAACAATGAGATAAGTTGTTTTAACAAGAGATGTTTCTCATACCAACTGGAAAAATTGCTTTCTAACGAGAAAACCTGTAATCACATGAAAAAACTGACAAAATATTTTGAGCCAGGTGGCAGCAACACACTGCTGTGGTCCCTCTGTGTGCATGAGCACGCACATGTTAGTGTGTGCGCACCTGGGCAGTTTGAACGAGGGCAGGATCAGTCTCAGTTTACTGTGAAGTTCCTGAAACTCTTCAAAGGTCCTCTGAACCAGCTGCACCTCCTGCTGCCCCTCACGTTCCACCTTCACCACAAATGCCTGAAACACACACACACAGAACCACCACAACCAAAAGCTGAACATGAACATAAACCTGAACCGGATCCTATTATTTATCCGTTTAACACCTGTGATACTGGAAACCACTGTTTCCTGTGTGCCTGTATAAAGTGGGATGATGCAGAGCTGCTGCTTCTCTGCACTGCTTCACAGCTGCAGCAGCTTCACACAGACACACTGAGGCATATATGAAATGAGCAGATTTACCCAGAACTAATGTGTCTGCAGCTGAGACCTGTTAGAATTCAGTCTGATCCTGCATCTGAAGTTGCCCTGTTTACAATATAGTGCCCCATCACTGTCCGCCATGTTCACTCCAACACATCGTGCCCTCAACACTACACTGTGGAAAAACAAAGCAGTGCCCACAGCATGTACACTGCTCTCTGCTAACACTCCCACAATGCAATGCTCCATGTTTTACAGCTGAGCAGTACTACAGCTGTTGGCAGTGACACAAACTAAAGATCAGCCGGTGTGTGACTGCTAACAGACTCACATATCCTTTGCTGGGGCTGGCGGTGCGGATGTGTCTGCAGATGTAGAGGTTCCTGATGAGGCCATCGCTCTTCATCGTGTGGACTCGGGGAGCAAACGACAGCATGGGTCGATCCTCCGATGAGGCAAACTTCATCTGAGCCAGATTGTGGATGAAGAAGTTCAGTTTGGTGGCAACACTGCCCAGACTGGACTCGATCAACCTGCCCCAGCACAAAGAGAGGAGGTTAAAGGACCATTCTGACTGTTTTTACTGGCTGCTGAAAATGACAAATTGTTTTTCCACATCCCATCTGTGCTCTTTCCAAAGCCATGGTGAACAGTCTATGTGTGGAATCAGTATGGCCTGTTGTGTCCCTGCTCTATCACAGGCCAGGATGTGTGCTGAAGCAAGAACATTTTGGGTTCATGGCCTGTTTGTTTAACCCATTGGGTCATCCTGATGTAGAGATGATCTGTTAACTAGGTTCAGGAATTGGTTGGGGGGGGGGGGCAAAAGTGAGCTGTGTACAAAAGGAGGCAGTAGAGTAGTGTAGTGTATGTGCATGCGGAAGAAGGATAGAGAGTGAGACCCCGGCTGGGGGGACGTGACGGACTTGACTGTGCTTATGACTTAAAAGAGACTGACTGACTCTGTGACAATCTTCTTGTCTAATACTGCATTTATTTCCTGCAGGAATGGTGACTCTGTCCCCTATCTCTTAGTCTGTTGAATTGTCTGCCAAACTATTGAAATGCCTTGAATTATTGTAATATTAAATTGGAATTGGAATGATCTGTCTGAATTAATTTAGCTCGCATCAGGTCCTAGCCACCACAGTATTTTGGTTCTGTAGAACAGAAGAGTCTCCACAGGGTGAGGAGGACTAACACTGATCTGATGTGCATGGAATAAAACTGGTGGAGTGCTCCTTTAAAGCTCCGGCTCCCATTCTGATCAAACCTGAAACTGGAGGCACAGCTTCACAAACCTGTGTGTGTATGTACCTGGTGAAGTACATGGTGGCGTCAGCTTCAGACTCGTGAGGTCTCAGAGCATCGTAGACGTACTTCAGATCATCCAGATCAGCAAGTTCAGGGATCCCACAAGACAACATCTGCATGTACACACACGTGTTAATATGTATGTTGTGTATGACCAACAGCTGAAAACACAAAACATATTCTGTTCACTGGGATAGAAGACTGAAAAACAGCCAAGTATCACATTGGAAAAGTTGTAGTTCGTGGCAGGTTTTCTTACAATGACAATGAATCAAAATAAATATACGCACATACTCAGTTGTCAGTTTGTTGGGCACACTTAGCTAAAATGCAACTAATCCAACAGTTTGCACTGTGTTATACTGACATGTGTTTCCATTATGAAGTGAGGTTAAACAGAAACACCAGCCAGTAGAATGCTGTACAGTTCAGTATGAACACAAACTGAACATTATCAACCTGCCCTCTCTGCAGAGCATTTACCTCCGCAGGGTGCTTAGGAAAGCTGCCTCCATCCTCAAAGACCCCACCCACCCCCAGCACGGACCGTTCATACCACTACCCTCCGGTCAGAGGCTCAGAAGTGTGAAGTGTAGGACCACTAGGCTGAAAAACTCTTTCTTTCCCTCTGCCATCAGACTCCTAAACAGCTGAATCAGGATCTACCTCATGTAATTCCATCTGTACTGTTTACATACTCATTTTGCACATGCACACTCACTGCTGAGTATTTACACCCCACAGCTCCCACGTAGCATATATTCTCTCTGCATTATATTGTGTTCTTGTTGTATCTTTAATTGCTCCCTTCACTTGATGCTTTAAAGTGCCTTAGATTTGTGTTACTGTTCATTTACTTTATATTTCATTTGTATTTTGTGGCATTCATGTCGACAGCAAAGTAAGAATTTCATTGTACAGGGAAACACGTTTCCTAACTGTGCATATGACTAATAAACACTTTGAACTGTGACCTTCATCAGAGGGTTTACAGCAGGACTGTTGGACTAGACTGACTTACTTTGACACAGGTGTTCCTAATAAACTGACCCCAGGTAAACTGTACCCACCAGGCCCAGCAGGTTGAGGAACAGGTGTGTGTGTTTCCTGATCAGGTTGTACGCCTCGCAGCACAGATCCACAAAATCGTGGAAGCGACTGGATGGTTTGTCTCCTCCATTGATGACGTACGCCATGTCGGAGGTGAAGACGAAGGGGGCGCGGTCCCTGCACAAGCCACATGACCCACATCACCACATCACACTCACACGACCCACAACACAGTCTAACTAGTCCAAAATAACACGGTTTTTTCAGCTAAAATAAGGACAGGCTCGTCCTGTTAATGTTGGGACGGCCTCAGTCTGTCTCTCACCGCTTGATGTTTCCAAACATCTGTGCGTGTCCGAGGAACTTCCCAAAGTCGATGTGGAACATGTGACCACTGGTCTTCAGCATGATGTTGTCGTTGTGGCGGTCGCAAATTCCCAGGATGTAGGTTGCCACACAGCAGCCAGCGCATGAATAGATGAAGTTCTCCACTGCCTGGACACACAACAGAGTACACATGTCTGTGCAGATTCTCAGTCATCCAGGTCATAGTAAACCGAAATAACCTTAGGAAAAATCAACTGGACTTAGATTTCTAGATCGAAGACGTTCCACCTACAGCCCAGTATCGGTGAGAGTCGGTCGACAGGGGAGGATCCAAAGACAGGTAACGACTCTCACCGATACTGGGCTATAAGACTCAGTCGTTAAGGGACATTGATGGCCTTCAAAGGACTGAAACACCACAGAGGGAGATAAATATCTCCGGCTCAACACCAGTCAGTCAGAACTGATGAAGCCTCTTGGATGAGAGGTGAAACGTCTTCGACCTAGAAATCCAAGTCCAGTTGATTTTTCCTAAGGTTATTTCGGTTAACAGAGTACACAGTACAGAGGCCAGAGGTCAGGTGTTGACTCAGCATTTGTGCCACTGAACATTTAAATTTGTGACATGAGACTGAAAAGGGACATTTCAGTATTGCTGCTTTTTTCCCATTTCACCTGCACAAATCCTCAGTGTGGTTATAAAACAGAACAAACAGAGTTCACCTGTTTGGTGCCTAAATAAGGGACACGGGTCCTCAGTAACTATCCCTGCCTCTTAGGGTTGCATGATTAACTGTATCGTGAGCATGATTCAGATCCCTGTGCGATCTCAGTCTCAAGTGACAATGATTCTGCCGTGTTTGCATTAGCAGAAAGATGTTTTGCATCAAATCAAGTGCTCCCTTTTCCTCGCTATGCTGCCCAGGAATGAGGTACTGTAGACAGGAAGAGAAGACTGATTCAAAAACAAATCCAACATGTTTGACACAGTGAAAGATATTCTGTGTCACGCTCTGAATCACGCTCACGACACAATTACTTGTGTAGCTCTACTGCCTGTCTGAGTGTGTTACCTTGTCATACTGCTCGTCAGTGGGGTTGTGTTTCTGCAGCCAGTCAGCCAGTGGTCGGTCTTTGAAGGATCCTGTGACTCCATGTTCCACCTGGATCTTCCTCAGAGTGTCAGCGTGAGGAATCATCTCCACCATGCCTGAGAACAGGTCACACCATACCTGTCAGTCACACCTTGCTTTATTCAACGGTCTTACTCCTGTCCTGACGTGGTGTCCTCACCTCGCCCCCTACCAGTGGAAAAACATTTGAAGATGACCATCCTCATGTCCAAACCCTCCTGGATCCAGAGCTTGTTCATGATGCGGATCATCTGTAGAGTCAGCATGTCCTGCCGCAGGTCATCTCCTGACTGGACGGAGACAGAGACAACAGATTGGTTCAAGTACCGGTTCAGGTTCTGGTTCAGAGAAGCAGAAATCAGATAAAATCAGGTGAAACCTTGAAGATGACATTGATATGGTCTCCCAGAGGGTCGAGGTTTTGGAAGCACAGTTTGAGAGGGACAGCGTTGGAGTTGAAGAACGAACATGACTGTACAAGAGAAGAAGATTAATGTCACTGTGCCTGAACAGAGTCCTTCATACACAATCAGGACAGCAGGAGTGATGCAGATGAAAATGCTGACCTGACATAGACACTAGACACAAGTCAGAGGATCAGCAGTTATTACAGTTCATCCTGACAGGAACATGAACATTCGAACCACATCTCATCACAATCCTTCCAACGGCAAAACAGATCCAGAGCTGGTGTGTGTGTTGCTACCTGTATGTTGATTCCCGTAACCAGCAGCGCCGGGTTCAGAGGAAGTCTGCAGCTGCTGTTGATGGAGAAGAACTGCTTCATCTCCTCCAGACCTTCTCTGAGGACAGACTGCAACACACACAGGCTGTTCGTTAAAACCATTCACATCATGACGTCATCCGCTTTGTGCCACTGCTCCGGGGTCGTAACATGAGACAGCAGGGCCAGAACAGTGGTGCAGATGTCCTTCTCCCCAGCACGCCCTCCAGCTCTGCCTGGGGGACGCCAGGGGTTCCCAGGCCAGATAGGAGATGCAGTCGGGTGCACAAGAACACGATTTTTGTAATATTGCCTCTGTACATCACCTCAATGGACTTGAAATGAAGCAGTCAATGTAGACAAAGTGTAGACGTTTAGCTTTAATTCAAGGGGTTTTACAAAAATAAAAACAGATAAATAAATAAAACCCTGAGCCTTAAACCCCTGAGCCTTCCCTTAGTTATACTGCTATATCCTCTGTCCACTCACCCCAACCGGTCGAGGCAGAAGGCCGCCCACCAAGAGCCGGGGTCTCCCGTTAAAGGGAGTTTTTCCTCCCCACTGTCGCCAAGTGCTTGCTCAGGGGGGTTTGCTGGGTTTTTCTTCTATAATATTACTAGTAAGGTCTAGACTTTACTTTGTCAAGTGTCCTCAGATGACTTTTGTTGTGATTTGGCGCTATACAAATAAAATTTGAATTGAATTTAATTGGAAAATATTGCAATAACTGTTTAGGAATTATAGACATTTCTATACACAGTCCCCCATTTTCAGAGGATCAAAGGTAACTGGTCAGTTGACTGAGAAGCAGTTTCATGATCAGGTGTGGCATGTTCCTTCGTCATATCAGAACAAATTTAGCAGATAAAGCAAAGCAAATGTAGTTCTATAGCCTGTTTAAAATCCAAAGGTTCCAAAGTGCTTCACAGCAAGATGAATTAATGTAATTATAATAACCACATATATCACTCATAATCACAGCAAAGCATAATG